GGTAGATTGTCCTGTCCTGTTCTGGACTGCACTGCCGCATTCCCTCCGGCCTTGTCACCGTCTCTGATCTCTTGAGGCACGTTGAGTTTCTTCCTGATCTCTCTGTCCTTACAGTCTTGTGACGCTGTGCGGCACTGTCGGCAGGATACCCCGGTGCCGGACGACCTTTACGCCCGGTACGCCGCCCTGGTGAAGCAAAACTACCAGCTGGAACAGGCGCTGGGCCGGGGCGACCGGGCGCCGACCCGCTCTGGGCGGGCCGAACTGGACGAATACCGCGCACTGGTGGGCATCCAGGTGAGGTTGGCGGGACGCCGCAGCTGCCGGCTGCTGCTCGACTGCTATCCTGCACGCCCTGTGCCTGTTCATTGAATGTTGTCGCATGTCATTGCGGTGTCGTTTCACCCATTGACGTCATCTGTTGACATCACTGGCTGATATTGACGTCATCTGTTGACGTATCCGCCGGCAGATGAGCACGCTGCAGCAGGACTGGCGAGACGAACGCGACGAGAAGGAGCGCGCGCTGGCGCTAAACGCCGAGCTGCACCAGCAGGTGGAGCAGCTGCAGCACCAGCTGGAGCAGCTGAGCGCGCGCCGGCCACTATCCGAGCCGTTCGAGTCGCTGGAGCCGAGCTTCTTCACGGGCAGCAGCAGCTGGGGACCCGAGTGTTCGGTCCGCTCCCAGGTGAGCCCTGTGTCCGATAGCAAACGACGGGCGCTTGTACGCGCTACAGACCCAGGTGGCGGACCAAACAAACCCACTGTCCAGCAGTGGCCAGTGAACCAGCTGATATCACTACGTATTATAACACTGCGTTTGACCATCGGTGGGACTTCAGACCGTTTCGCCCTAACCCATGTTTTGAACAAACACGACCGCATTCCCATGCGATGATTGTCTACACTGCTTTATGAGGATCGCCGGCAGACGACCGCTTCGTTCGCACGTTGTTTACAATGCATAACAGTGGATACTGAGCTCGGTAAGCGTCTGAGTTGTTGCGTGCTATTTTTACATGCCGGGGTATGTTTCAAGTACAGCACGAGCCGGATAGTAAAATTATGACTAAGAAACTTGTAGGCAAATCTCCACAGGAAATGAAAGTTAACGTCCTGGGGTTTCTGCCCAGGCGAATAACCTGTGACTATATGATTCAAGGTAGCGATTGTAGGGAAACCATTGTGGGCCTCAATAACTAGACGAGGTGTTGCAGGATTGCCGCGGTTCTTTTTTACGAGAAAATAAGAAGCTTAAAAGAGCGAAAATCCACGTTGTATTTCATGCCAAACGATGCCGGCAGGCCAATTAGCAGCTCGAGTAAAATGCATGCACTCGTGCATAACTAAGTCGACTGCTACTGCTGACTATTTCACTGCTTGTTAATATACGCCTGCTTGCAGCTTGCATTGTTGCCAGCGGTTGCCAGCGATTCGGTCGCCATCAGGGCATGTCACTGTCGATGTTTACTCCCCGCACTTTACTCTTTTGTCGGTGACCTCGGAAGTTATGTCCCATCGTTGCTGAACATGTAACCGCCTGTTTTAAATGTTTTCCCGTCAGCGTCGGTGCAGACGGTAGACTCGCCACGTTCTTGCGGCCCATTAGTTGTGCTACATACGCTGGAGGACATCCAACATTGAGTGCTCAGTTGACAATCTTCCTTGCATAGTGGTTTCTTTTCTTTCCCGGGACACCAGCGGTAACGTTTCCTGATTTCAGCAGCTCCCCCACCCAGTTTGTTCCTCACCATTGGTGCCTCCATGAACCAGTCTTTCGAATATGATTGATGGCGAGATTGAAGGGATTTGCTTCTTCCATAGACGGTGACCGTTGTTTCTCGAATTCCTTGAAGACAATCACTGGGCATTGATTGCTCCTTATCAACATTGTTGGGGAGATCTTCGGAGAAAAAAAAATCCTGCTGCCCGTCTGATTTTCACTTATTTTTGTCATCGTTTCTCTTTCCCCGAACAGTAAATGACCATTTCCATCCACACCCCTCAAAGGCTTTTCGTTACCCCACTTCAATTCTCGTGATTCATCGCATCCCCTAGACTCAACAGCAAATTGGTGATAACCACATATATTTCTGGTCCAGAGCTTTTCTTCTTGGAAAGTTACAGGCTTCGCACGACTAGGCCTGTTCCCTTTCTTATCCCTCTTGAGAAGTCGTGTCGTAGTTTCGCTGTTTAACCTCGTGGTATGCTTTGGGCAAAGCACGTTCAACGTTAGTCAGTTTGTTCTCTTTCAACCACTTCCCACAAGTCTTGAGAAGTTCGTGACACTACAAATCTCGTAGTTTGTTCCGTCCTCAAGCTTCATTGACTTCCTATAACTGCACATTAGTTTTGCGGTTCCCTGCTTGCTTTAAGCTCCACGTTATGTTGTGACATCCAACAGTCTCACGATTTTCTGGTAGCCTTTTCAGCCTCAATTCCATATTTTGCTGCTTTTTTCTGTGGTATTGTTCTTTGTAAACTTCATCGATACTTGTTTCATGTCATCCCTGCCGCTATTCGGCAGGTTCAATACTAACACCGGACGAGTGACGAGTCCTATCAAATACATTTTGAGGCATAGTGCGTCATGTAGGAAAACTTACCGACATCAGCCTACAGAAATTATTTTGAAACACTGTTCGCAAAATTTTAATCGACAATGCACTCGGGCCTCTGCCAATTTTGCAAACCTTGTTTCCAAATACTTTCGTCCGCTCGGTTTGTAATATATAGTACCTATAGCCCGAGTGCTGTGTTTCACGTCAGTGCAGGTTTGTCTGTCGGATCGCCCTCGGTTTTCAGACAATGTCTGATATCTGACTTCATGTGTCCTCAGCCGCGACACGGGATCCCTCCACCCGGTGTTGGCCAGACCGTCAGGGGCCTGCAGAGCACGGTCAGTAGTCAACGATGGGAAATGCATGGCACTAGAGGACCCTGTATTCGTCTGTGCCCTACAGTAACTCAATGTTCACATTTTATGACCATTCTCCGAGCCGTTTCGCAAAACAAAGGGTGATGAAGTAGCATGAAAGGATGAACAACTCATAAGAACACTTTGTAACTGCCTGAATAAGCTGAATTCAGCAGTTGGACTAGCATTTGTTTTGTTTGGTTGTGGCCGTAATTAACTCATGGCCCTATAATTCAAAGGCACTGGGTATGACTCCCACTGGACGGTGCGGGGCCGCGCCCATATGTACGTCTTCTGACCATTGTGTTCCCCTCGGCGCAGCGCTCAGCGTCGCGGCACGCGCCAGGCCCGCCGCGCTCTGTGGAGGAGGTGCTCTCGGCGCCGTACGAGGCGATCCGCACCGAGCCACTGCCGCCGCCGCGCGGCCGGCCGTCGCCCCCGGTGGAGTCGGACATACGCCGGCCGCTGCCGCCGCCCGGCCGGCAGCCGTCCGCCCAGCGGCGGCCGGCACCGCTGCTGGCGCGCGACAGCGGCTACTCGGACCTGCTGGCCGCCGCGCCGGGCGACGGCAGCGAGCCGGGCCGGTCGGCCAGCGGCGGCTCGGCCGAGGGGCACGCCAGGGACTGGGAGCTGCCGGCCGAGCCCCGCACGGCGCTGCCGCCGGCCAGCGCAGACACGGGCGCGGCGCACCAGATGGTGTGTCCCCACTGCCGGACAGTGTTCGCACCCGACCAGCACCTGCTCTATGTGGACCACGTGACGACTGAGTGTCCGGCGCGGCGGCGGCGGGGCTGTGCCTCACGGACCTGCCCCGGCTGAGCTCGGCGCGCGCTGCGGTGTGCTCCAACCAAGTTGCCACCCCGCGCCGCCGTTCCGGCGCCAAGCGTGCTGAGAGGCGCCGGCGCAGCCATTTGACTGTGGGAACCCGTCGTTCCCGCCTGCTTTTACATGGTGGTCGGACGTTGGTCACCATACCTGCACAGTAATATGAAATACAAACATTCCACTTGACCCGATTCAGTGGTAGATGGGCTAGCCATGCTACTTTGTTCCTCAATGAACGTGAATAATGAAGGTGGAAATGGTATCGTGCTTTATTGGTTTATTTGTGCCGTTTGAAGAGAATCAATGAAGGTGATAGATGACTTACACTCAATTCGCTATTGTGAAGACCGAATCTGAGTTATTCACCGCACCCTCCAGGAGAGTATTGCCACTTGAATCAATACATCGCTCACCAAGTGAATAATAGAATTGAGGCATTGTTTTTTTTCTTTTTTACATTGACTCGTTCACTCATGCTTAGTATCTGCAGCACACCAATTGTACGTGAAGTTGCTGTTCACCTGCCTCATTGCGTATGTGAAACATTTGAGCATGATTATTGGGTAGTAGACGTGATTTCAAGGTGTATATGTGGCGATGTGTGTCGACTCATCGAGAGATTCAGTGATTATGCTGGGACGCGCCCCAAGGCCTCCTTTCCTCAATCATGTTTTTAGACGATTATTTTTCAATTCCGTTGCGACATTTTCACGAGATGCTTGAACACTTGAGTTTGAAAGGATCCATGGTCCTATGTCATCATTATGTCTCACTTTCAACTCTAAAAATCCTTGTCAAAGACACGTCGCGATTGTCGCAAAGCGCCGTCATCATGCTTTTTCAGCTGTGCGAATGCTGCTCACTGCTGTTCGCTTGTGCGAATAATGTCGATTGCGCCTCATATAATGGATTGTAATGCTTGATTGATGGTAGTTTTGTCGCTGAAATACACTACTGTTTGCTGTGACCATTGAGTGTCTACTCGGTACGCTAAGCGCTTATATTGGGCGTTCCACGCCTGACGTCCCGCCAGACCAAGTCTGATGGTCGTATTGCCAGCGCAATTTTAATGCTGCGAACACTGCTTTGGAACGGTCTTGTGTAGGTATGTGCGTTTGTTAATCGTATCATTCGTGATAATCGTTGCCAGTTACCAGTGCCATGTCTTGACAGGTTGCCCTAAGACCGGATAAATGCCTGAGATAAATTTACATAGTTAATTACAAACATTGCAAATATTAGCTGCAAACAAGTATGGCTACTTTGATGCAAGTTTATTCCACGACATTGCACCATGTCTTTATTTTCCTTGAGCCACCGTCGTTGTGGCTATTGCTGCACTTAAACAAGACGCATTCATTGCTAGTCAATCGGCCGGCAAGGCCTGTGGCTGTGTATATTGACTGAATGCAGTTACGCTGACCGTCAAGTCGCTGTCACGGGCTGGCGCTCCTGAGGCTGACTCCGCTCCACTACACCTGTTCGGGATCAGCCCGCCCGCTGCTGGTGTCAGTCGGTGATGGATGCCGTGGTGCGCCGGCGGCGGGCGCGGTGACTGAGCGCGCGGCTCTCCCGCCGGGCGCCCAGTCGGCCAGGTACTGGAGCACATGTCTGTACACCAACCGGTCGGCGTCGATACCCCAGAGGAAGTCCAGGTGCTGCCACAGCGGCCAGGCCACCTGCTGGCTGGCCACCAGGTTCGGCAGCCGGCTGGCCAGCGAGGCCACGTCCTGAAACAGGCCTCGGTCAGTTCAGTGGCGCCGACAGAGGGCGCCGCTGGCAAGGCGGGCTGCCGACAAACGGATCGGAAAAGTACGCCTGGCAAATGTACGCCAGGTCCCAGGAAATGTACGTAGGACAAAAGTACTTATCGCCAATGTGCGTAAGGTATAAAGTACGCGCGGACAAGAGTAGGGTGAAGTCGTATAAGAGTACGCACTTAGTGGATTTCTTGCTCTCATTTGTTTAATATTTGAAAGAAAGAAATCGCAAATAGGGAATATTAAAGTTCATTGAATTAGCCATCAACCCATGGGGCAACGATCCTTTAGCGTAAATGGAAGTGGTCTAAAACTGACATTTTCTGAACCGCTGCAGTTGCGTACTCTTACCATATCGGGTGTGTAAGAGTACGCACGCCAGGCGGGTGGAGTACGCAAGCATATGAACACACACCTATGCAGTTTGTACTGTCCAAATGCTTAACTTCAAACTCAGAAGGCATTTAAGTTAATTCTAGTATCCAAAAAGAAAAACATAAAATAAATCTTTCAAGTCTATAAATCAGGAACTAATCATGTCGTGTGTTTCTTAAAAAAATGCACAATCAAAAGGGAGAATAACTCGTATTTGGAAGAATTTCGGGTACGCATCTGCATCACAGTGCTCCATTGATGATATACATACAAAACAAACGTCATTGAGCGATAGATTAATAATCTTATATTTCTGTATATTCGATTTAGTATATAATTCTGCGTACTCTTACCCTCCTGAACAGTGCGTCCTCTTACCGTACATGCAATTCGCGCACAAAACAACCCCGAAACGTTGTGCAAAACTTCGCAAACAGAATATTGCACTGCACAGTATTTCCCCAGATAACCTCACAAGTTTCCCACGACAATCACGGAAATGTACCTTATCTCAACTGACAAGTATCAAAATTATTGTACCATACCATAATAATATCATAACGCTCGAAAATAATATTTATCGCCTTAAACTCAACAGCGTCGCCGCTCAACGCCCACGTTCCGTTGGTGACAAGCACGCACTGGCGGCTTCATGTCACTTCATGAACTCGACAAACCCGCGTTGCTAAGCAACCGAAACAGCTGATGCGTACTCTTATCGCCCGCGTACTCTTACCCGCCCTTACCCTATCTATGGGTTAGGTTGGGTTCGTTTGGGTTGGGTTAGTTTAGGCTGGGTAGGTTAGGTTAGGAGTTGCATTTTTAGCGATACATTAGCAGGTATTTGGCGCCTACATACTTTTGAGTGCTTACTTCCGTGAATCGTCCGTGAGCAGTGCAGCGAGTGAATTGGGTATCGGGAATGGGAATTGGGTATCCCATTCTCACCACTCGCCCCGTTAGGGAGCAGAGTGGTGAGAATGGGAGCAGAGAGACTTCTATAGATGTTATTGTTTAGCTGGGACAGAGACATTCTAGCATAAAAATATTCAAAACACCAGTTTCGTTTATTAATTATGGGAGCTTTCGAAAGACGTTCGTCTTTCTTCGTCAGCCTGTCTCAAAAAGCACTTAAAACACACATAATACACCAGGTAAAGACAAGATCAAACACTTCTAATGACCAAAAATGTACAAAAAAAAAAACAGTAATGAATTTCTGTGCGAAAAGGCGCGACATCGTTTCACACATACCTCGTTCGGTAACTCGTCATTTTTTGACACAATCTTGTCTTTACCTGGTGTATTATGTGTGTTTTAAGTGCTTTTTAAAGGTAGTGTGCCACCTTTGAAAGATTTCCCATTTTATTTTTCCTAGGATAAGAAGCTTCTGTTTTTACCTAATATCGCAAAAAAAATCAAAAATGGGCCTGGAATAGTGCCTTTTTCGCTTAAAAGTTTATCGGTTTTTCGATATGTATAACAACTGTAGTGGGCTGACCTGCAAACAGGCGTCGGCAACAATCGCGAATGCGACGCACATGTGACAATAAGCAAAGGTCATTATAGAGTTACGACGTACGGGAATGAGTTATCAGCTGTCTAATCGTAGACAACACAATGTCGAGCCTTAGACTGTAAGCCTGTATTGGTTATGTTTCTTTTATTTGGCTGTCGAACATTATTTATGGTTTGAAATATGATTATATGTAAAATAATTGATATGAAAAGCCGTCTCTTAAGTTATGACCCAATATCACCACACGCAAGTGGCAGAAATGACAATGATCAGCTGACGCATTTTTCTTGGCCGAAGTCAGAGCGCGCGGCCCCACGCACCACCACCTCACCACAAAGTATGAGCAGAAGCCGCGCCCAAAGCCAGGGCCCCGGTAACGTGAGGTAGCCGAGTCAGGGCAGCGTGCGCCAGGCACGTAGCTAGGATTTGGCCAAGGGAGGGGCGGAGGAATCCCGGGGGCCTCCTTTCTACAGAGGGCCTCCTCCCTAAAGGGGCCTCCTTTCTACAGAGGGTCTCATGCCTACATAATTACATATACAATATAATGCAGACTTTTGTTCAGCTTTCATATGGCCAGCGCACTGGTATGTTTCTTTATTCTAACCGCTGCAGCGGTAAGAAACATACGCATATCACAAGTCTCCGAGTGGCATGGTAATTGGCAAAAAAAAAAAAACTCGGGCGCCGCCGGCGGCGGCGACGGCGGCCGGACCGCAGCAGGAGGGGAAGGATCTGCGAGGAATGGGTGGATACTGGATGACGGCCAGAGTAACACTTGGTGTATTATCATATATCGTTCAAGCGCTTAACCGTATTCCGGGCGGGCTCTGAAAGACTCTGAATCGGGCGGGGGCCTTTTTGGCCCTCGTCAGAACTCGAAAAGCACGAATCGTAGCGACAAACGGCAACGGCGTTTGATAGTTCGTTGAACGACTTACAACTTTTGTAAACAACTTTTTTGGGTCAGGTCAATATTGAGGTCGCCAGAGGTCATAACAAATAATATGGTTTATAACGACCTACATAGATAGGTCAACTTCAAAATCTGACCTAGGAAGGTCACGCTGGGTACCAATCGGCGCGTCATGACCAGGCGAACGGTTTGGTACACTTACAACTATTTAGCCCCATCATGTCGTGATTTATTGGCTAAAAACTGTTGATGACCTCACCTCACCTCAGATGATCCTTCCCGGTGCCACTGTCAGTAAATGCCACCTGGGTGCTTACAGATCAGCTAATCTGACGTAATTCAGAAAGAATTGGGTGATTTTGACTCGTTTACTCGAAGCAGGACACAGTTCATTATATTTTCCAATAGGCTTGTCACGATTCTGACCTGACTGACGTCTGCAAGATTGAAACTATACGGTTATCAATTCTTTCTGTGTGAATGATGCCACGTTTACTTGCTGTAAGTAAAACATGGTTTCGTTAGTAAATTTTCCTAGGTCCAGGTGGTTTGCTTCATTTACGCCGTAGATGAAACAAACAAATCGATGGATAGGTAAATATTAATTTCCCGGTCAAATAAATTACTATGAGTTGTGCGAAGCATGGCTATGGGAATATCACCACGGTCTGATAAATGGTTTGGGTAATTGCATGCATCGTAAAAATACCAACACAGCCACAGGTAACTATATATTACAGAAATGGGCTGCTGTGTTCATGCATTAACCCGCGCCCTGCCGGGGGGGGGGGGTGTTAAACACCCCCTGCAGTTTACCGTGAATATCTCAAAAACGGCGGCGCACCACACTTTATCCTACATCATTACGGAGCGAGCGAAGCGAGCGTAGTCTTTCCTTAGATTAAAGGGACCCTCCCACCTTAACATTAGATTTGAGTTGAGATAGCCAAAATGGGGTCCCTGGCTCACAATTACCGGTTTCGGCACTCACAACATCGAGAAATGCCTTAAATCGGAAATATTGAATTTCAAAATTGCAGCATTTTGATTCAGAGGGGCTAATGCTTAGGAATACCCCTCTGAATGTGTGACGTCAGCGCAGATATCTAACGATTTTTAAATGTTTGACTAAAACGTTTTGTAGCACGCGGTGGTATATGCTATTTGCGCGCAACATCTGCCGCAAACGCCGCACTTCTAAAATAAAGTCGCTAGAAACAGCGGAGATCCCAAAAAGTAAACAAAAGTAAAAGTCTAATATCTTGAAAACCGGTGAATATTTTTCGGTGAAATTTGGTAGATATTCGTTTTCGCTCTTTCTGAACCGAGCAACATCACTTTCATGCCAATTCATAAACTTTTTTGAAGGTGGGAGGGTCCCTTTAACGGAAATTTCTGAGTATGAGCGGCCGGCCGGCCGGCCGGCCGTGCGGACGCTTTTGCGAGGCTTATATCTCAGCAACCGCTTGACCGATTTACACGCGGTAATTTTTGTAGGGTAGCTTCATTCCTTCTACCAAGTATTGGACTATTCCCGATGCATGTGGGTGACCCCTTATGCTCGTGCCACGTGCAAAACGAAGAGGTGTCAGTTTTGTAATTGTTGCAATATCTCGGTAACTACTTGGCCGAGTGCGCTGAAAGTTGGCATGTAGGTAGGCACCCACTAGGCACTGCATATCCATGTGCCAGAGTTGGGGTGCTGCTGCACGTGCGCACGTGCAGGGGTCGTTTTCAGATCTCGAGAACGGCTCGACCGATTGCGCTCAAATTTGGTACACGGTTAGGGACCGGTTAGTAGGGTGCCGTACACAAGTCAGTTGGGACCCATTTTGCACGTGCGCACGTGCAGGGTGCCGCTTCCAGATCTCGAGAACGGCTGGGCCGATTGTGCCCAAATTTGGCACATCGCTAGAGACCGGCTAGTAGGGTGCCGTGCACAAGTCAGTTGGAGGTACCCCCTCGCAATTTCGCACGTGCAAGGCCCACCCTCTCGCTCGCTCCGTTAGTCGCCCCAAAAGGCGTTATACTGGTTTCTACATATGTTGTGAAAATTTCAGACCCTGGTCACTTAAAGTCAGGTCACCAGGTCAGGTCAAATGACCTCACTACATAAGTTTCAATGTCTGCCAAAGGTACACGGAGTGACCAAACGCTTTGAAA